ATTGTATTAATATTTTTAAAGTGATAGCAGCACAAACGAAAATTTCTGGTTGACCTTTTGACCTTTACATTTTCATTAATATCTTTAAAAAAGAAGCAGCACAAACAACAATCTTAGCAGCACAAACAACAATTTTAGCAGCACAAACCAGCACAAACCAGCACAAACGTAGCACAAACATTTGATACCACTTTTGTTGGATTCAAGAAGTGGGGGGGGGGGGGGGGACGAGAGGGCAACTTCACTCACATCCTCAATGGTAATGAGGCTTTCCCAAATCAGGGGAGGAATATAATCTTTTCAGCGTACCCCTGGTCTGCCAATCTGACATGTCCAAACCCCTCAATTGGATCATTTTAATGTGGAGGAACAGATTCAATTTTGGATAATTTTTTCTTATCAGTGAATTAAATCATCATCAAAAAACTGCATTTTTTATTTACCTGGGTATTTTTGTCTATTTTGTTTTTTTTATGATCTGACAAAGAAAAAGGAATCAGGAAAAGGACAAATACTTTTTCAAAGTGCTGTACATGTGGGTTAGAATGTAGATCAACTTGTAAATAGGTAGCCTGGATTTCACTTTTGGGTCACACCCAGTGACAGTCAAGACCTGTTGTCCATCCCAAAGACACGGAGAAGTAATTAACTCATCCCTCAGGGAAAAACCCAAACATACCGACAAGGAAAGACAGACTTGAGGAATTTATGAGCGCGAACCAAGAAAAACTAGTAACTGCACATAGCTTCTGCACGTAGTTTCTGTTGGCAACACTCCTTATCTTTGTAAAAGATAAACTATAAGTTTTTTACAAGGCTGGAAAAAGAAAATGAGGAGAGGTGCTAACTAAAGTGACTTTCACTGAATTAAAGTACAAGATATCATGTTTACTTCCACTTTGTTGTCATATTATTCATTCTGTGAACAAAGAGAAACGTGTAAATAACTCATGAAAGAATAAAGTTACATTGAAACCAAGCACACCATTGTTTTTCTTGTGACAATACCAATAAGTTGCATACAACTGTCATTCACCCAGCAGTGCAAATGAAAATTAGAGCTGGTTCCTTGATCTAAAGTGTTCAGGGTGTGGTGTTTGGGGACGCTGAACCACACAGGTGCTCTCTATCATGTGATCATGCCTTACCTATTTCAGTAGGATGTCGAGACCTGATTAGAGGTGTGGTGTAGAGGTGAAATGGACAGCTGGAAAGCTGCACAAGCAGTCTGGTTTATGAAACACTTGCTAATAGAGGTTCAGTCATTTGTAAAGGTTCAGTCATTTAGTCTGGAGCGTTATGCCACAAAGTTATCTTGCAGGGTTATTTTACATGACTGGAAAAAGAAAAACAGACATGAGGAGTGGTAGTTTTCATTTTCAAACAAGCCTAACACAGATTTCAAGTCAAAAATATCATGTTTACTTCCTTGAAAGTGTTAAATATCAACACTTCACCGAGTTCTTTTGATTCCTCAAAGGCATCTGATGGGAGACAACACACTGCTCAGTAGATCATTTAACACTTTTATTCTCTCACAAAACACTTCTAGAAGGGAGTCCTGCGTGACACGCTGCCGCGGACCTTGAAATGGCGATGCGCCCCTAACAGTTTTATTAACAGCTGTCCCATTCTAGTCTAAACAACAGCATTTCAGTAAATCTCCCCTAAAAGATGGTTCCCTGTTGTCTACTTGTACACTCAAGCGTGGGTAAAGGTCTCCATCATTCTACTACTAAAGGACATGTAGTCTAATGCCTTTATTATCAGGGCCATGTCCACTCAATGCTATATGACATTTTGGTTAATATAGCACAGTGTTAAGGCACTTCGGAAACTTCATTTTAACAAACTTCCACTTTTTGCCAGATAATCTGCTACCCCGTGGTTGTAGCAGACTACATAAGCTCTCTTACCCAGTGAATTTGCTGAGAGGAAGAGCATTCGGTCGAAGCTTATTTCACTTTTGGTTTTATTGCCTCCTGCTGGTATGATGAGTTTCGACTCACTTAAGTGAGTGAGAGAAGTTTCTGTGCTTGTAAGTGTTTTTATTGCAGACCCTCGTGCCGCTTCCTAGTGTAGCAGGTTGGAAATGGCTACATGTTTATTTTTGTAAGGAAACCAAATACCCCCTCATTTTTTTGTTTATTATTGTGAATTATTTTGACATTGTTATGCATTGCCAGACCAAAGTTATATCTCATTATGCTAGTAGATGGTGTTCTTGCACTCCTGTAGAACTACCAGAGAGACTCTAGCTATAGGCTCTGCGCATGCGCAGCTTAGAAATAAATGAGCTCCGGCCTGAGCAAGATGCTAACTTTGGTGTCCTCTCTATTAATCCACAGGTGCTGACAAACAAACTTTTATGTTACCGAACTGGTTCTGAATGTCATGTAAGTTGAGTAACAACTGTTCGGCCATATTTTGAGATGATTGTGATGATGTTGTTTTTAGGGGTGCAACGATACTCGTATCGATATTGAACCGTTCGGTACGCATATGTATCGAAAAATACAAAATTTTTAATTTATTTTATCAACTTTCCTTCTGACGATGCTGTCTGTGTTGAGCGCTCAGTGGATCTGCGCTCGACAGTGCAGCCTAGGCGGAGTAGTCGAAAGCAGATTCACTGAGCACAGGGCAAGCTAGCGAGACAGAAGTTAAGCTCTCCTTGCAACATGGCAAATTGAACCCACCCCTCATTCAGATCTGGCGTTTGGAACTATTTTGGTTTTCATGTGACGTATGACCCTGAAGGTAAGCGCGTCATGGACTAAAGTAAAACAGTATGTTGGATGTGCCACGCAATGCTCAATTACATGGGTGGGAACTAGTGTGTTAGCGCAGTTAGCTCGTTAACGTGTTGGCCGTCCAGCCCCATGCACGGGGCGATCGGCGGTAGCTCGTTAACGGAGATTTGCTGTGTTGTGGCGTTAACGTCATTTCAACGAGATTTACGCTGACAGCACTAGTGGGAACACAACGAATATGACTGCATATTTACGCTGACATCATCCTAGTGCAAAGACAAGTGGAAGCAGACAAAAACAACAAGCACGCATGCTACAAACTTTACACGAGTCATTTAGAGAGCTGTTAGCACATGATTCTCCTTATGGGGACCTGATATGTTTAATATGCTGCTGAGAATATAGCCCAGAAGAAGCGTATAGTATAGCTTTTATTTTGGAAAGAGCCATTTCTCTGTAATAAACTCTCTTTTCCAAAGATGAGTGATTCCTCAATCAGATACAGGGCTCGCAAAATCGCTAGCCCGACGTCCCAGAGCTAGCGATTTTTCCAGTCGGGCTACCAAAATCGATCTCTTCCCTGCCCATCGGGCGATTGTAGGAAGGAAAAATATATGTCAATGCTTTTGCATTCTTTCGGAAATGTAGCTGGGTAATTATGTCATTGGCATCGGTGAGCCACTGTCACTATGTGACATATTGAAATCGCGTTTGAATTTGCGCTTGTTTTTTGCGCTTGTTTTTTGCTTTCACTTTGCAATCGCGCAAACTGTGTATAGAGAGCGACAGCACTGATCTGTGAGTGATGATAATTTGTGCACCAATTCCTCTGACATCGTCTTATCAATCGTTAGCTTACTATGCAAACATGACAAGTGAAATCTCCCGCAGCAAGCTTAAACATGTGAGAGGTTGATCGCGCAGAGAATCGCTGAGCTTATGTGAGTGCCTGTGTAAAAGCAGCAGGATATATATTTTAGTTCTGCTGAGCCAAATAAGACAGGTCAGGGTGAAGAAGTGACAGCCAAAGAAAAGCTTTCCACAAAACGGAAAAGTTAAATCATCAAATAGGTAGTATAGCCCTTGCCCTTTGGGGAGAATTGTGCTCCACTGTTTATTCTTTACTTGCTTTCAGCCTATTAAACATCATTTGGGCTACACACATCCAATAACCATTGTCTATTAAGCACATTCACAGACTGCTTTGTAATCCTACACATACAGTAAAGTTCAGTTCCTATTTCCTCCATTTCCACCTTTCAGTAAACACCAGATCAAGGTCAGAAACTCAAAGAGCAGGAAGCTTAAAATAATTCAATGTGACAGGTTTCTTAAGAAATTTGCAATCATATAATCTGAAACTGAAAAAAAGATCAAATATGAGTATCAGTGAAAAGAAAATGTTTCCTTAAAATGTAATCAAAACCATATTCATGAGGAGGGAGTTCAACGTTCACTTTCTACTTTTTGTTTTTCAGTTTCAGCTCTGATTTGGCTCCATGGATCAGAATCTGTTATTTATTGGGCATCTGAAGTGATTTTACCCTTCAGAGCTGAATGTGTTGCAAAATTCTCCATCTGACCAACTCAGTGAGCTGCAGACTACAACTGATAGACGACTACTATTCTACTTAATATTCTTTTTGCTCATTTATTAGAGATTATAAAGTCTTAAACGGTCAGTAAACACAGAAATTTCCTGATTAAATTGAGATTTTTCCTTTTTTCAGTTTTTGCATGTTAACCTACATTTAACCAAAAATAAATAAATCCTGATGAATTTCTGCTTTAAATACACACATCTCAGTAACTTGCAAACAAACACAGGGCAGGCCGTAAAGACGAGTGTGTAAAGTCTTATTTCTTAGTTTTATTTCTTTTGCTTGTTTCTTTATTGTTTTCATGTGTCCGTCTCAGGCAGGGACACATGAGAGCTTTTTGTTTCTTCTTCTCTTCTTATGTCCTGCAGGCTGTTACATGATGTCTTGCTGGTGCTGCGTGGACTCGCTGACAACCTGAAGGAGAAAAACATGAGACAGAAACATAAAAGCCTTATCAGATGACTTCTCTGTCTGGATGAATGTAAGATATCTGGAAATGAGTGAACACTGTCCCAAATCCATACAAACTACAACAGTCGAGACAGAAAGATTACAGTCAGAGAGCCCAGGTGAACACAGAACAGATTAAGAAACACCAGCAGTCACTTCAGCAGTTAATTACTTACATTAAAGCAATCTTTATTTGTATGTAAAGTTTCTAAAATATTAGGTGTAAATAAGGTAATGGACTGTTTTCTGTCTAAATATGGGACAATTGCATTTGCTGGTGTGGCAAGAGTGTTTTCTGCAGCTCTGCTTCAGAGGAGTGGTGTGGCAGTGGGCAGTGACAAAAGGCTGGCAGAGTAGCTGGGACTGATTGGTATGATCAGTCCTGGTATTTCAGTTGCCAACCTGTAACGTAGAGGGGAAGGCTGTGCCAGAAACAAGTCGGCTGAAAAGCTGCACAGAGCAATTTGGAAAAGTTGCAACTAATATTTACCCAGCTCTTTAACAGTGTGTTTGTGTTGGTCCGTCGTGTCACAGTGCTGTAGAAACCCAGATGCGCTAGGACAGATGTGCAACCAGTACAGCCAGTGGAAGTGCTGACAGCAATGCTGGCAGAGATGGCCATCGTGCACCAAGAACAGGCGACTGTGCATCAAGATCAGCTCCAGTGGCTACAGAATTAGGCCGAGCACCATATGAGAGTGCACCTAGTCTCGGTCTGGCATCCCCCTGGCTCCTCTGTTGTCCCACACAGTCATGTCAAGCAAACCGTGACATGGCTGTATGACTGGCCAAAAACCACCTGGCAGTGCAGCCAGCAAACCCGCTGGATCAACCACAGCCAGTTGTGGAGAATTGGCCGGTCCCAGCCCCAAGGAGGAGGTTCCCCAGCTCCACTATAACTTTGCTGGTTATGGAGCAGCCACCACAACAGCCAGTCTCGCTGTCTCCCCACAGGTTCCAGCAACTAAGCTGCCCCCAACTCACAGGGAGCCGTGCAAATGCTGAGGCAGGTATGTTGGAGGTGTGGGCGGCCAGGACACTGACATTAGGAGTGCCCACTGACGGATGTGGGGTAGCTGTTCCGTGTTGCTGGCCCTCCAACACCTTCCCCAGGTCCAAGAGGGACATGCACTGTCAAGGTGCCAGTGGATATACGCCAGGCTCTGGTGGACTCGGGCTATAGGGTGAGTCTGGGCTGCACGCAGACCCTGGTCCTCCAAACCCTGGTACGGCACGGGGCGTTGGTGGAGGTTAGATGTGTGCATGAGGACATACACAAATATCCCATAGTGCCGCTCCAAAATATATACAAGGGCAAAACACATGGTGTAAAGGCTGCAGTTCAACTCTGACTCTAGGGAGGAGGAGGAGGCCATCGAATGAGGCCCTGCTGCCTCCAGCGATTCACTCCACAGGATATTTCCCACTAGAGGAATCTCATGACTAGTGTTGGGTAAGTTACTTTAAAATAGTAA